TTGTAGCAGTAGTAGTAGTAGTAGTAGTAGTAGTAGTAGTAGTAGTAGTACTAGTAGTAGTTGTTGTACTAGTAGTACTAGTAGTAGTAGTAGTAGTAGTAGTAGTAGTAGTAGTAGTAGTAGTAGTAGTGATAGTGATAGTAGTAGTAGTAGTAGTGATCGTAGTAGTAGTAATAGTAGTAGTAGTAGTAGTAGTAGTAGTAGTAGCAGTAGTAGTAGTAGTAGTAGTAGTAGTAGTTCTTGATGATGAGCAGCTGGAGGAGGAGTGGGAGTGGGAGTGGAAGTAGGAGTAGGAGCAGGAGTAGGAGGAGGAGCAGGAGCAGGAGCAGCAGGAGCAGCAGCAGCAGCAGCAGCAGCAGCTAATTTGAAAAAGATGGTCAATCGGAACACTTGGAGCTGTGATTGTGGTGGTGTGGGGTCAATGTAAAGCTGCAGCGCTACAGCTGCAGTGTGGCACCGCTGGAAACAAAGGCTAGTTTGCTGATTTGGGATTTCCACTTCATGGCATGTTTGGATTTAGGATCTCGGATGCTTCGGGCTTGGTGCTTTCAAGCCCAGCTCTTAGCATATAATTGAAAAAACAGAAGTCTTGAAACGTTCAGAGCACAGTAGTACACTCTGCAAGCCCTCCGAGACTTCTGGCTCCGCTTCCCTGTCTTTTGACCTTTAGGCTTGCGGTTTACCCATGGGCCCCATAGTAGTTCCTTTTTTGCGACTACCTAATAGGATCCTAAATATAATACCTATAAGCCGAAAAAAAAAGAACTACTGTGGGGCCTATGGGTGGGTTTGGTTTAGGGCTCCACTCAAACCAAAATCCGAAGCCGGCCGGCCTCAAGGTAGGCCTCTTGGCCCCACGGCTGAAGCCACACTACGTCCATGCCCGAGGCAAGTCCCGGATACCTTTTTGCAGGCTTTAGGGTTTAGGGTTTGAGAAGATCTGGCATGCAAGCCCATGATCAGGAATCTGTTTCGCGAGATAAGAAGTATAGTATAGCAGGGAAGAGCAGGGTTCGGAGTTTCAAGATCCTTTAAACCAAACGAGGGGTTCTATACAGACGACTACAGGGTTCAGGATTCCGTTATATTCGTCTGAGGCAGTATGAAACCTGCACCCGAAAACCCTAAACTTTAAACCCTGAACCTATGAACCCTACAACCGAAACTCAGGCCCCCTGAAATGGGAACGGGGAGGGGGGCTGCTATTCCAGGGTGCACCTTGCTAAGCCCCAGGATGTTCGGATCTCCAACAGAAAGATATACGGCACTTAAGGCGCATATATTTGTATGCGTTCACATTGATATATATATATATATATA